CAGCCTAATTTTCTACATTTAAAAAGTATATGGACCAGGCATAGTGGCTCACACCTGTAATCCCAACACTTTGGGAGGCTGAGGCGGGCAGATAACCTGAGGTCAGGAGTTCGAGACCAGCCGGACCAACACGGAGAAACCCCATCTCTACTAAAAATACAAAATTAGCTGGGCGTGGTGGCACATGCCTGTAATCCCAGCTACTGGGGAGGCTGAGGCAGGAGAATCGCTTGAACCGGGAAGCAGAGGTTGCAGTGAGCCGAGATTGTGCCACTGCACTCCAGCCTGGGCAACAAGAGCGAAACTCAGTCTCAAGGAAAAAAAAAAAAAAAAAATGTACATGAAGATATGTCTTAGTCCCAGACCACAAAAATAGCAACACTTTTTCTATCCTAGCAATTATAAATGTTTTGAGTCTGGCCCAAAGTTGAAGTAGAAAGAAACTGATGGTAAAGAGATATTCTTTGCAATTTGGTAATTTGTGAATGAAAGGCAGAAAGGAATTAGGTGATCTGCGCCTTCATTAAAAAAGACTCCACAGGCCAGGCGCGGTGGCTCATGCCTGTAATCCCAGCACTTTGGGAGGCCGAGGCGGGCGGATCACGAGGTCAGGAGATCGAGACCATCCTGGCGAACACGGTGAAACCCCGTCTCTACTGAAAATACAAAAAAATTAGCCGGGCGTGGTGGTGGGTGCCTGTAGTCCCAGCTTCTAGGGAGGCTGAGCAGGAGAATGGCGTGAACCCGGGAGGCGGCGGAGCTTGCAGTGAGCAGAGATCGCGCCACTGCACTCCAGCGTGGGCGACAGAGCGAGACTCCGTCTCAAAACAAAAAAAAAAAAGACTCCACAAATACCACCCTTACTCATATCTAGGATTCTACAGGAGGCAAAAATTCGTTATCAAAATATCAAGTCTTTTCTAATGTGCAGCAGTCAGTCATTCAGCAAAACATTTTCTGGGTGCCTTGTTGCCACTCAGTTTGAGTACCAGCACCTCTTGGGAAAGATTTCTGATCTCCCATTGGCTGAGAGCCCTTCTATTGCTTCTGTGACAGCTTCTCTATACAACAACAACGTAATCATCAACTATCTTCCTATGTCCCTGGTTAGGACTATGAGCCTTCCAGTGTAGGGAACATGCATTGTTCAAAGGTGCTCAATAGATAGTTGTTGAATAACACTGAAGGCTTTATGTTATAAGGGACTATATAAATAGAATAATGGGGGAAAAAAAAAAGACCCCATTCACCATAGCAACCCCAATGCAAAATCCCTAACAAAATAAAGGTGACCTGTGTAATAAAGACCTATTGAAAATTCTAATCCAGACTTTGAGATTTCACCCATCAGTAAAATTTCCAAAACGTATTTCATCAACTTACGCATTTAGAAACCAGAAAAAATATTTCTAACATAGGTTTTTTTTTGTAAAATGCCATTTCAACTCTGAGTAGCGGGGGAGGGAATCACAAGATAAAGTACAGTTCTTTAAAACGAATTAGTTTTGCTTTATAAAAGTCACTATGTTGTTCTCAATTTTCTCTCATTGCTGCTTATTTTTCTCCGCACAGCACTGCTCAGCAGGCAGGCATGTGAGGGGGCTGGGCTGAAAGGAGACTGCAGCAAATGGAGAGACAGACCACAGTCCTGAGTTGGAAAACTGAGTATCGTTGAATGCCAGATCTTCCAAAATAAATGAACTGGCTTAATACAATTCTAATCAAGATGCCAACAAGAAGAGAGTCTATCCAGACAAAATGATCTTTGGAAAATATTCTTCACCTTGTGGAATAAACAGGAAAGCATGGCTAACAACGGGTAGTCGAAAACTTTCCTTACTAGATAGTAGAACAAATTTTTAAATGCTTAAATACTAATGGTAATTAGAGTAAATAGAGTGGAACAGGCTAGAAGGTCCAGATTATGCTTTGATTTTTTTATTTAAAAAGAAAAGCATGAGTAATTCCAAAAGTGTATTGGCTTCAAAGCCACAAAAGCTTATTTCTCACCTCTGCTACATGTCCATCGCCTATTATCAGGAGGCTCTGCTCACCCTGATTTCCTGGGACTCCAGACTGAGTGATCAGCCATATCTGATCACTCACTCATTTGATCTACAGATTGCCAGCCATCATGCCAGAGGGAAGGAGCTCAGGCTACACTGTCCAGCCACTGTGACGATGGAAATGTTCTGCTGGTAGCTGAAACAGAGGGGTTCCATTTTCATTTGTCACATTAGCAAAGATAATATTGGTGCAAATCCAGAGTGTGGTGCAATGAGTTCTTCCTGCACTTGGCCTCATCTTTCTGTATTACCAGTTCCATATCTGCACTGTCCAGGACAGTGGCCACTAGCCACATGTGGCCATTGAACACCTGAAATGTGGTGAGAATGGGGAACTAAACTTTTATATTAATTAAATGTGAATAGTTAACATGTGGCTACTGACTGCTAGACTGGACAGAGCAGCATCTGGAAGCTCTTGCATCAGCAATTAAAGGCTTGAGGCCAGATGTACAGTTACTTCTCACAGTCACTGCCAGAGCTTGACACACAGCTTCACAAAGTCACAAGGGTCAAAAATCACTATCTTCCTCTGTCCAAAAGGAAAAGAGCTGGAAACGTTGGCCAAGAACATTAATGACTCCTACAACTGGGAAGGACTTTGTAAGCTTAAAAGCAGTGTAAGTGCTGGGTGCGGTGGCTCATGCCTGTAATCCTAGCACTTTAGGAGGCCGAGGTGGGTGGATTGCCTGAGCTCAGGAGTTCAAGACCAGCCTGGGCAA